CTAAAGTGTTGCCCGAGCGTTTGCTGAATCATACAATCAGTCGCTGTGTCGACTGATGCAGTGGCTTCGTCAAGTACTAAGACTTTGGTTTTCTTGAGTAGCACACGCCCGAGACACACCAACTGCCGTTGACCCACACTCCAGTTCTCTCCGTTCTCGGTAACTATAACGTTTTATATGAAACTAATTAGTAAATTTAATAAAGATATGTGAAACCCCATTAGAGTTACTCTGTAAAAGAGCTCTTAAAATGAGAAGGGGGATATCAACATATATCAAAGAGAAAGTGTTCAAGTCTAGCCAATGCGAGACTCTAACAATCCCCCACAGAGGGTATGCGGGCAAAGATGTCCCAGAGTATCGAGTCCCGGGTAAAGATGTTCCAGATAGTAGATTTTAGCTCTGATACCATATTATGATATGTGAAACCCCATTATATTACTATCCAAAAGAACCCCTGGGGACTAAGGGAAGAAGGGATCCAAACATATATCAGAGAGAAAATGTCCAAATCTAGCTGATCCGAGACTCTAACAACGCTCAAAGTAAAGATGATGAACAAGAGTTCGGGTTCAAGTAATGAAGGGGTAAAAAGACCTGATGAATCAAGCTTCCCTTCCTTTTTCCTCACTTCATCTCCAAGCTGGCATTTATCAAGAGCCTGAAGTAACAAATATTGGTAGATTATAAGACCAGGGACAGTTCAGGTTCAGGGAACCGCAAAAAAAATAAAAAACTGAGAAACACTCTAGTAATTGTTCATCTGTACAGTATGCATATGTGGATACAAGTAATTTATAAGTAATTTTTCATGTATCCACATGTGCATTACATGCACACATACATTCAATTACTTGTATGCACATGTGCATACCGTGTTCAGTTTTTCAAATTTTTGGGGTTTTCCTTGGACCACCCTCTATAAGACCATTTGATGTTTGACAGAATCAAAATCCATATTATGTAATTTATCTACCTGCCATATCTTATCATCTGTATACTCTTCAAGAGGATCCAGGTTGCTTCTAATAGTTCCTTCAAACATGGTTGGATCTTGAGG